TTTGCAGCCCACATGAAGTCCAGATTGCGGTCCTCCCTCTCCCATGTGGCTGTCCAGTTCTGCTCTGCTCTTGCAGAGCGGGTCCTCTCTGCCCTGGGTCACTGGGCTCCTTGTTGGGATTCGTATCTGGGTTCTCCGCCCTTCTCCAATCCTGGTGTGTTCACTGTAACTTCATGGGAGCTGTGGAAATCAGATACCATTGCCGTGTGTTATCAGCACCATAGGAATATTTTTTATCATGGTAAAGCATAGCATGAACTAGTCATTTCCATTTTTTTTTAAAGATTTTATTTATTTATTCGACAGATTACAAGTAGGCAGAGAGGCAGGCAGAGAGAGAGAGGAGGAAGCAGGCTCCCTGCTGAGCAGAGAGCCCGACTCGGGACTATCCTGGGATCGAGTCCCGCATTGGGCTCCTTGCTCGGCGGGGAGCCTGCTTCTCTCTCCGCCTCTGCCTGCTTGGGCGCTTGGGCGCTCTCTCTCTCTCTCTCTCTCACAAGTAAATAAAATCTTTAAAAAAAAAAAAAATGCGGTTGGCTGGGTGCTTGTAAATTACAGAAAGTTCTTCTCCCAGGTCCTGGAGGCTGGAAGTCCAAGATGAGAGTTCCAGGGTAATCTGGTTCTGGTGAGGCCTCTTCCATGTTCCTGATGGCTGCCTTCTCCTGTGTCACATGTGGTGAAGACAGTGGGCAGTTCTTTCAGAAGGATGCTGATCCCAGTCACGAGGGCCGCACCTTGTAACCCAGTCCCCTCCCAAAGCTCCGTGTCCGCATACCATTTGGTTGGGGGTATGTGGGTGCATTATGGGCATGGGGACACATCTGTCTGTTGCACCATTAAATCCCTCCCCTTTTCCCCAGCCCCCCCCCCCCCCCCCCGCCGCCGCCCTCCTTTTTTCTGTTTCTGATCATTTGGCTACTCTCGGTGTCTCCTGGGAGAAGAGCCCTACCCTTCAGTGTTTGGTGACTGGCCATTTCACTTGGCATGACGTCTTGCAGCTCCTCCATGGTGCGGCATTGGGAGGGTTTCCTTCTTTCTGAGGCTGAATCATATTCCATTGGGTGTATACACCACATTTTGGTAGTCGGTCCCTCCGTCCGTCCATCCGCCCGCGGACACTTGGGTGCCTCCCTATCTCAGGTACAGGGCCTAATGCTGCCATGATCATGGGTGTGCCGGCATCTCATGGAGACCCTGCTCTCCGTTCCCCAGGGAACATGCCCAGACGGGGAACACTGGGCGTGAGCTCATCCTGGATCCTCCACACTGTTTTCCACAGCGGCCGCAGCCCACAGTGCATGGGGCTCCCGTCAGTCCACGTCCTCGCCATGGCTCATCGGTGTCTGCTCCTCCGAGAGCCGCCATCCTGCGGGCTGTGACGTGGGGTTACCTGTGGTTCTGACCCTCATTTCCCTGATCCCTGGTGACACTCAGCGGCCTGTCCTGTGCGGCTCGGCTACTGCACAGGTCCTCCGGAGTGCTGTCCGCTCAACTCCTCTGCCCACCTGGGGTTGGGGGTTTGTGCCTTTGCTCTGGAGCGCGAGCTCTCCACCTGCCCCAGGTGCCAGACCCTTTTCAGCCTTGCACTCTGCCTGGGTGCCCTCCTCTTCTGGGGTTACGGCCTCACTATAGATCGTTTCCTTTGCTTCGCACGAGTTTTAAGTTTGGCTAATCCCATTTGTCTGCTTTTGGTTTTGCCTATTGCCTGTGCATTTAAGACTACATTTCATATTTGCCTCTTACTTTGGAATTCTTTCAAAATCTCTTGGATTTAGAGTCACCTTGTCCACTTTCCTTAGGCTATGGATTGGTTTCTTTCCTTCTCGTTCGACTCTTATTTACTGGTTTCTTTCCTCACTGCTTTTTGCTGTATCTTGTTTCCTCTCATTGATTTTGTTGTTTGTCTCACTGAGGGCTCCCTGAGTAATTTTCCTCCCAGAAAAGGGATGTGGCGCTAACCTTGGCAGTGCCGCATATCTAGAAGTATCTTAATCTTGCCCTTCTGGAATGATAGTTTGGCTGCTTTCAGTATCTTCAGCATTTCAGAAATTCCATTCCTTCATTTGGCCAAAGCCCTTCTTGAAGGAGGCTGTGAAGGAGCTGTTGGTGACTGAGCAGCAGGGGACAGTTGGGGAAAGGCAGGGGAGGCCCGGACCCCAGGCTGGGTGCCCTGTGGGCAGAACGCTGAGCCGCTTTCCAGGGCCAGCTGCCTGGTGTCCTCAGGACAGAAGCTGGCACTGGAGACTGCTCAGTGCTCCTGGGACGTAAATTCTGAGAGCTCCTGGTGGGGGATGGGGGATGTTGCTATGGGCCAGACCGGTGGGGGGCACAGGACACGTCAGGGTGTGGGCAGCAGAAGGTGAGGTCCTGAGAGCTCAGCCTTGTGGAGCTAGTGACCAGGTGTGGGGCGGGAGCACCAGGGACAGCTCAGGGGTCCTTGGGTGGGAGGAGTGGCCCCAGAAAGCTCCTGTCCAGGCCATCAGAAATGGAGGCTGAGGGGCTTACTCAGGCCCAGGGAAGATGCAGGCTACATGGTGAGAGAGCAAAGTGGGCCTAACAACCCCCCAGAAGTGTACGAAGTCCTGACTTAGTTTCTTTTATCAAAAGATAGAAGAATTGGGACGCCTGGGTGGCTCAGTTGGTTAAGCAGCTGCCTTCGGCTCAGGTCATGATCCCAGTGTCCTGGGATCGAGTCCCACATCGGGCTCCTTGCTTGGCAGGGAGCCTGCTTCTCCCTCTGCCTCTGCCTGCCATTCTGTCTGCCTGTGCTCGCTCTCTCTCCCTCTCTCTCTGACAAATAAATAAATAAAATCTTTAAAAAAAAAAAAAAAAAGAAGAATTAATGTTGACTGTAACCTTATAATAGAAGTTGGGCCTGGGTATCAATGATGGACTGAAGATGAGTGTTAGAGTGTTGTCTGCTTCTTTTTGGGTAAAAGTTAAAAATGGAGATCTAGGCCTATAGCGCCTGCTTCAGAGTCTCCTTTTCCTCCCCTTGGCTCTGAGGGATGAACGTCATGCCAGGTGTCGTGAGCAGAAGGCAGGACCTGAGACTCCTGGGATTCCCGTGCTGGTGTCCCCTGAGCTTGGGTATGTTGACCACAGGGAGACCTGCTGGATCTTAGGGGCACAGCAGTGTCCAGCAGGTGTGACGGCGCTTACTGGCTGCTCCCGTGGCTTTTCAGTTGCCTGGAGCTGGAGGTGTTCCCTTCCCCTGGCTTGCGCTTGGGCTGACAGTGTGTGCAGGTGTAGGGCTTTTTCTCTTTTCCCGTGTTGTGGTTGTTTTGTTTGAATTTATTGAAATGTAGTTTTAACATCTGAATTTAGAATAAAACTTTGAAGCTTTTGTTATCGGGCATCACGGGATTTGTTTCAGTTCACTTTTCAGTGATTCTCTTGATTGTGTTTTATGGAAATATCAGCCAGGTCATATTGGAAACACACACAACATATTGGAAACACACAAACCGTCTGGCACAGACGGTTTGCAGGCCCTGGGGTGGGTGGGTCTCTGAGAACAGTCCAAGATTCTGAGAGGGAGGATGCACGCATCAGCATCCCACAGTCGGCTGGTCTCAGGGCCTCTGCCGAGAGCTGCTCTGCTCTGGGCGAGGGGGGTCAAGCACATGCTCGCATTTGGGTCTCTGTGCTGTGCGGTGTTATTAGGAGGGACCTTTGCCAAAACTGAGGCTCAAGGCAGGGAGCCCTTTCCTTTGGACGTGGAGGATGGGACCCATGTCTGCGCCTGGCACCTGCTCATGGCTTCACTTTTGTCCACGCGCCACAGTGGAAGGCTCTTCAGGGACTGAAGCCGGAACAGGCCTGGTTAGGTCAGGGACCTCAGTGTAGGTGACAGTGCATGGGTGTTGTGGGCGCTCTGCACCACTCCATGTTAGGGACGGTCCTTTTACTTTGTCTAGAGACTCTCCTGTCTTGCTTGTGTGAGATCATGGCGCAGTTGCAGGAAAGCCTGCTAGACCCTGCTGCTGGGGATGAGCCCTCCCCAAATCGTGGACATGGTTTGTCTAACAGCATTTTGCCTCTTGAGCCGGGAAGACCCAAGGTGTGGTGGACAGGAATGTTTACCCACTGCCACCGTGTCTGCAGGGCAGCTTGGGGGGTGGCAGCTGGGGCAACGGCAGCACTGGACCCCTGGCCAGGTCTTGGGGAGGTCCTGCTGCTGGGGCCCCTGGTTGGTGTCTAGGTCCCCTAGGTGTCCCTGCTCCTGGGAATCCCAGGTTCCTCCCTGCCATGCATGGCGCCTGGCACCTGGTGGAGCGGCAGCGCAGACTTCCGTGGTGAACTGCTGGCTGCCAGGGGGTCCACGCCACATGAGCTGCATTCAACGAGTGGGAAGTACTGGACCTGGAGCCCGGAGAAGGGCTGGGAACAGTGTTGGCAGCCACTGTCTCTCAGTGACACGCCATCCTTCCTGGGTCTTTTGTTGGCTGTTCTATAGGGAGAGGTGGTTTTGTCCCTGAGGGCTGAATAAATATGGTCTGACTGAGATGACTTAGATGCGTACCTGTGGCGACATGCTGACACCCCAACCGTCTGTGCGCTTCCACCCTGTCCTGCGTGGCCTTCCCGGTGTCCTGAGTCTGCGATACCCGCCGGCCCCATCACAGGCCACTGCAGGTTTTCCATCTGATGGATCTCGTGGTGGTCCTCTCCTTCAACTGTTTGGCATCCTGGATGAACTTTGGGATTATTTTGTCAGTGTGCCCTTAGCAGTTTTCTGGAAAGAAAGGAGCTGCCTCTGTGGATTTGGGGGGGGGGGGGGGGGGGGGGGGGGGTTCTCATTTGTGTCCTCATCCAGGAACACAAAAGAGCCTCCGTTCACACAGGCCTTTTGTGGGCCTCGGTTAGGGTTAGAGTAGATGTGTCTGTAGAGTGCAAGGAGCCTAGGACATGTGCCTGCCAAAACACTGTGAAGGGGGTCTGGGCATCGCACGTGTAGGACTGCTGGTGCTCACACACCAATTACCGTTCTTCCCCAGGTGCCCTACGAAACACTAAATAAACGCTTTCGGGCTGCTCAGAAAAAACATTGATCGAGAAACGAGCCACGTCACCATGGTGGTGGCCGAGCTGGAGAAGACTTTGAGCAGCTGCCCTGCCGTGGACTCTGTGGTCAGCCTTCTGGATGGTGTGGTGGAGAAGCTTAGTGTCCTCAAGAGGAAGGTCAGTGCGGCTTCTGGACCGTCCTAGGAGCCCGCCTGCCTACGTGTGAGCTATAGTGTGGGTCCCACAGCCCAGCGTTCTGATGGACCCAGGCTGTCCCCAAAAGGGCTGTCTTCTGCAGGAGCCAGGATGCAGGAGAGACCAGACAGCCGTGCCTTGGGGAGGTGGGCTCTCACGGCCAGAGTGTGGGAGAGGCAAGCCCCTCCATGCTCTCTGTGCTCTGCAGCCTCTGCGGGGCTGGCATCCAGCTTCCAGTCCTGTGCTCCTGTTCCTGTGTCGCTGGGTTGTCCCGGCTTTGGAGTGTCTCAAGCACAGACAGGAGGCAGATGATTTATTATTTTTAGGCTTTCCCCTCAAAGCTTCATGTAGGGTTTCTCATTTCTGGGAGAGGGAGGTAGGGTACACTACTGTGCCCGGGGAACCACCCAGCAAACACAGCAAGATGCTTTATAACATCCTACTGAACATGTCAAAGGGCTCATGGGACAGAAAGTTGATCACCAGAATTGGAGGGCAGGGGCCAAGAGGAGAGAAGGGCAGGACCCATGGCTGCCTTGCTGGCCAGTGTCTGGGGCCAGCTTGGGGGTGGGGGGGAGGCCAGGGCTGGTGGTGCAACCTAGTGGCCGTGTACGTCAGGTGGGGATGCCCCAAGTGTGGCCTCCTGTGGCAGAGCATCACAGCCTGTTTCAGAACACCAGGGGAGCCAGGACCCTCCTCTTCAGCCTGGGGTAAGTGGTCCCAGGCGCCAGGCACACTAAATGCATTTCCCAGGGGCCGGACACCGTCCACCAGAGTGTCAGGGGTCACAGAGGACCACGAGGTGCATGGGAAGCTGTGGTTGAGGTTTGTTGAAGTGTGGCAGGAACAGGAGACTTCACTCAGATTTCAGACATAGAGATTATCAGGGACCAAACTTGACTATATCCAAAGATTAAACAGCTGAGAATATTGCAAGGGGATGTAAAGCAGAAAGCATAATTGAGAGTTTAAAATAAACCAAATAAAACGTAAATTAAAAGTATAACTGAAATGAAAAACTCAAGTGTTTGCTTATAACACTTTTTTTGAACATTTAACAATCAGACAAAGCTAAAGAGAGGATTTGTGAGCTGGAAGGTAGGTGTGAGGAAATTACCGAGAAATTCTAGCAGCACACAGAACCAAAAGCACAGAGCTCTGTAAGAGGGTGGGAAGCCACAGAGACTAGATCGGAGACCATGTTTGACCAAAGTCAAGAGAGGGCACAGGAAGAGTAGCCAAGATTCTCAGAATTGATGGAAGTTACCAGTTCAGAGTCCTAAATGGATAAAAAAAGATAAACCTAGGATTTCACATCATGAAACTGAAAAGAGAAAAATCTTAAAAGCAGCTGTAGGAAGAAAACCACTTCCAAAGGAGCAGCAAGTATCCTGGCAGCAGAGGGCAGCTGGAGAGCATGGCGAGCGCTTGAGGGAAACACAGGCCGACTGGGGCCCTGGGTGCATTTGTGTGTCTGGCTCCTCGGTGGCCCTGACCGTGTGTCACCTACTTGGCGGTCAGCTGCCATCGCAGCCAGAGCTGATACAGAACGTGTCTGTGGAGCTGTATTCATTTTGAACAGACTTGACATTGAGGGGGAAAGTATTAGCAAAGATAGAAAGCCGCAAAATGGTAACAGATGGCTGAGGTAGCCAGGAAGCGGCAGCAAAGGTGCAGTCAGGCTTTGGTGGCAGCTCAGCCCCAGACCACAGAGGGCAAGAAGGTGCGGCTCCAAGGGGCAGGTGTTGACTTGCCTCTGGGTGGTGACACTGGACGGGGGGCACTCCCCTTTGCTGCTTCCGTCCCCCAGCCCTAGGGACACCCCCTGCCCCCGGCCCCCTCTGATGTCTCCTGCCCCGTGGCGGCAAGGGCGCTGTGCTGAAGTGCCTTCTGCCCACGTCACAGGCGGTGGAGTCTATCCAGGCGGAGGACGAGAGCGCCAAGCTGTGCAAGCGGCGGATCGAGCACCTCAAGGAGCACAGCAGCGACCAGCCGGCAGCTGCCAGCATGTGGAAGAGGAAGCGCATGGACCGCATGATGGTGGAGCACCTGCTGCGCTGCGGCTACTACAACACCGCCGTGAAGCTGGCACGCCAGAGCGGTATCGAGGTGGGCATGCACGGGCCCCCACCATCCCAGTCCGGGCACCAGGGCCAGTGTGTTGCACGTTCTGGCAGCAGCCTGTGGCAGGGGGTCGTCCCCACTCTGTACCCGTCCTTTGGTACTGTTCGCGGTGTCCCACCCACCTGTCTGCAGCGGTTCCCGCAGTTCAGGCGTAGAGACAGGTGATGCTCTGGCTTTCAGTGCCCACGCAGGCCAGGCTCTGTGGAGCTTTGGGAGGAAGGCTGCTCAGCAGTGGCAAAGGTGTCCAGTGCCCTCACCCCGTGCCAGCACTTCTCAGACTCTTGTGCACCTCTGTCTGTTGTCTAGCCTGTGTGCTGCCCTTCTGTCGTTGGGCCGTGTCCATCTCCCTGGCCCACCGGTCTCCACTCTGTACCCGGTAGTCCCTTGGCCCTGCTCCTCCTACCCTCTTCCTTCCCTGCCCAGCACGGCCATTGTATACCTGATGGACGGGCTCTGTGGTCCTTGTGTTTGTCTGGCACCGCCGGTGCCTCTGCATGGTTACATGGGTGCTCGCAGATAGCCTGCACTCCTCTCCCTGCCCCTGTGGGCAGAGCTTGGCCAGGTGCTCCTAGCCTCAGGAACATGGGCTTTGAAGGGGAGAGAGGCAGGTGGTCCAACAGGATTGTTTACAGGCGTGCATAGGGCAAAGGGGCAGGATGGCTGGTGATTTTCAGAAGGCTGGTTGGGGTCAGCTTGCAGAGATGAGGGGAGGGTCCCGGGACAGGCCTGGGAGCTGCCCGGTATTGGGGTGTGTGGGGTCTGAGCACGTGCAGAACTCGTAGAGTGGGGCTTCCCCTCAACTGAGATGGGTGTGGGTTGGGGGTGTTGAGTTGGAAGCACTGCTCTAATAGGCTCACTCTGGTTCCTCTGTGAGTCACGGTGATGGCGGTGGTACGACCTTGGACATCCGCTAAAGGGTCCCTGTGAAATTTACATGTGGAATGCCCAGCTCCACAGCTATAGGTAGAATTAAGGTTGCTTCCAGAAGCAAGCTCAGGCCCTTGGGGTGGGGGGAGGTCTCCTGACGAGATGGGGTGCTGTCACCAACCAAGAGGTTGATGTACCAGGGTTCATTCACATTTAAAACTTATGTTTGTCAAAAGATGCCATGGAGGGAGAGCTTATCAGGTCAGCCCAGATAGGGGCTGTGTGTCCCACACGGAGCCATGGTCTTAGAGGAGAGTCCTATCCCGCTGGTGTCCTGGTGTGTCTGTCTGCATTTGAAATCAGTGCTGGCACCTCATGGGGGCGACCCTGATTGTCTGGCGTGATTTCCAGCCCTCCTCCAGTCATCTGGTTTAACACCTCTGGTGTGGCTCCCACACCCCAGGGTCCATGGACATCCAGGACAGCCATCGGCAGAAGAGAAAGATGGCAAAGACCCAAACCCTGAGGCCGTGTGGACCAGAGACACAGGTGGACCCTGAGGTGCGGGCAGGAGAGGCCACCTCTCAGAATTTAGAGGAAAACTGAAAACCAGAGATGGGAAATAGGAAAGATGACCCTCATGTAGGTAGCCCAGTGTTTCCCTGCACGGAGGTTCTAGAAAAGAGAAGAAAATGCCAGAGAGATGGCCAAAGCAGTGGTTCATGAGAACAGCCAAGCTCTGAGATGATGTGAGGCTGCGGTGCTCAGCACTTACTGTCAAAGCTCATGTCAGGAGGGTTAGGGGTCAGGGGGCAAGGAAGCAGGGCTCCCACCCACACATGAGGGGCCGAGCGGTGTCTCTCTGGGTCTGCCCCTGTCTGACCTTGCCGCCTCGACAGGCCTGCAGTCAGGGTATGGGGCCTGAGGCCGAGTGAGGCTGGGGATCCATCTGTTGGTTCTGGAAGACTTGGGCGACCTGGCCCAGCCTGCCCACTGCTGGACTGCTGTACTGAGCTGACGAGCCCCTGGGTCATCTGCAGGGCGCCGACCCTGACGGCGGCACACCGCTTGCCCTTCAGGTCGGGGGCTCTTCTGCCCTGGACCGGCTATGGCTTGTCCCCACCGAGATGCCCAGGCAGTGCCTATGCTGGCCCTGACGCCACCCACCAGCCCTCGGCCCTCACTGCTCCTTCTCAGAATCTCAAATACATCTTCAGAGGCAAAAAACAAAACAAAATGAGGGTATGGGGTACCAGGGTTCCCAGGTCTGATTGTGAAGGTGTGTAACAGGGTCAGGTCGCTCCTGGGGTCGGGGGCAAGGTTGTGGATTGGGCCTTTGGTTTGGGAGACTGTATCCAAATGATTTGCAGGCCTCTAAGCTGCAGGCCTACCCCTCGTCCTGGCCCAGGGAAGCTGGAGAAGCTGGGCTGTGCTCTGGCACAGGGTGGGAGCTCAGGAGCTGGCTGGGTGGGGTGTGCTGGGGGGGTGGGGGAGCATCTGCAGACTTGGGGCTGGGGTCCTGACGTCCGGTGTTCTGAGTGCGTACCGCTTCCTTCCCCTAAGGACTTAGTGAACATCGAGATGTTCCTGACGGCCAAAGAAGTAGAGGAGTCCCTGGAGAGGCGGGAGACGGCCACCTGTCTGGCCTGGTGTCATGACAACAAATCCCGGCTGCGCAAGATGAAGGTGTGCAGGAGCCCGGGTGCGGCTGTGGGAGGGACCACTCAGGGTGGGGCTGGGGGCATGGCACGGGGGCGGGGCAGACACCTGCCTGCAGCCCACTGGCCTGCACCTGTTGACTCAGAGTTCTGTGCTTCTGGTTTGGGGGGGTGGTTTGTGGGGTTTGGTGTAGCTTTGGGGTTATTTTTTTGGTTGTGATGTTTGGGTTTTAGGTAAAATCCCTAAAAAGTGCACCCCGTTCTGCGTTATGGTTTGGACAAGTGTTCTGAGCATGGGGTTCTGAAGGAGCAAGGTGCCACCTGCCTGCGTGTGCTCAGCTTGTTAGCGGCTTCAGGTCCTTCCCGCCCCCGACCCCTTAGTCACCGAGGCAGGAAAGCCCGGTCCGGAAGGCCGGTCCGCCTGCAGCGGTGCAGCGTTCCAGGCTGGGCTCCTCTCCGGTACAGCTTTTCTTGAGACCCACAAGCAGCTTCCAGAGTGGACCCTTAATCATAACTTAGAGACCCGAAACATGCTTACTGACAGGTGTTGTCCCCGGAGCTTGCAAAAATGTTTAACTTCTATTAACCTTCCCCTGCCTCCGTTAGAAAAACTGTTTGTTTTCTGTTTTCTAAACCGAGCGCCTTTAACCTCTCCCTGGTTGAGCTTGTCATGTGCACATAGTCACCAGCCAAGGGTGACGCTCTCTGCCACTCAGGGCCGCCAAAGCGAGCACGACGCGAAGACGGGACGGAAAAGTAGAGTGGCCAGTGGTCCCCCTAAAGAGAGTGAGGATCTTGGTATGGAAACCATAAAAGGAAAGCCAGAATTGGTATGTAACACTTGCCCTGCTCTCCTGCTCCAGCCCCCAAGCTGTGCCGCACGGTGGGAACCAGGTCTGAAGGGACGTAGCTCCCCATCCCGACAGGTGGTCTCTGCAAGCCCTGCTACGTCCAGTCAACGCTGCTGCTTGGCAAGGGCACCGCCGCATAGCCGGGTCCCGGCGGGGAGGGCGGGCGGCCGTATCCGCGACGGCGGGCTCCTGTCACCAGAGACTCCCGTCACCGGAACATTTAACTGCAGAGAGCGTAAACAGCCGTTCCCAAGTGCTCCAGGAAGACCAGCTAATGACCCAAAAACAGGCTTCTTATGCAGTGTCAGCTGAGCAGAGTAGGCCCAGACAGTGTGCATATGTGTGTGTACACGCGTGAGCGCACACGCAGGCGGGGGAGGGGACAGATGCGTGGGGGGGGGCATGCCCGACGACCACGGATCCCTCACATCAGTTGTGAGACTCTAGGCAAGAAAAGGAACTTTGAGACCCAAGTTTCACATAGCTGGAAAATACTTCTAAGGTGGTGGGCGCCTGTCTGTTGAGTTGACTCCCATCTCCAGACGCCTAAGGACAGCTGAAGCCACAACACGAGCGCTGCGTCTGGGAAGCTGACAGAGTCACAAATGTGCATGCGCCAGGCCCTCCTGGCTCGCATGGGAAGGACCTCTTCAGCCCCCCGTGCTTGGTGTGATGACCTGGAATCGTGGTATTTCACATTCGAGTCTGAGCACCTGGGTTGCGGTACACACGTGTTTGTCCGTTAGCCGACTGTTTGGAAGGTGACCTGCCAGAAAAGAGCTGTACGGTAGTAGAACATGTTTAAGCATGTCAATCGTGGGGAGTTGACTATGACCTTGTCCATCTGGGATGCCCACCTGGTGGCCCCCTCCTGCTGGTAGAGCTGCTGGCATCCCCGAGCACAGTAGTGGCGACCGTCAGGTGTGCTGGGGAGGCAGGCAGGGCCCCTCCCCGCTGTCTCCACCCCTTGGCCTCTGCTGGTCTGGCCTCAGAAGGGAGCGCATAGCTGGGGCTGGTTTGTGCTGCCACCCAGCACATAGCATCGGCTCCATCCAGTTGGGGGTCAGGACAGACTGCCACCTTGGTGCAGAGGACAGGAGAGGAGGGGGCCAGGGAACACACTCAGGCCCCAATTCCTGTGGTGTGGATATGTTGGGCACCACGTAGGTGGCTCTCTGCACCTTTGCCTCTGATGGCCTGGTGGGCCCCCAAGGAAGTCACACCAGCCAGTGCTCCACCCTGGTGTCCGTGGAACTCGGGTGGGGGCTTGGAGGGCTCTATCCCTGGGGCCTGGCTAAGAGGCTTCATCGGAATGCCAGAGCACACGCTTGGAGGCTCGGGTGGGAGAAGTCCACATGATTGGTAAACTTGAGTGTAAGCGCTGGACATTTGGGGTTGACTGACGGACTTGCCTCATAGACCATCCATGTCATCTCATGATCCAGGTGCCGTGGAAGGCAAAATGGTAAATGAGTGGAGAACGCAGAGATTTTTCTCTTATTCTGTTAATTCCATGTATTTTGCTTCTGGTTGGAAATACTGAGTGTTTTCCTGAAACCATATTGAAGATATTTGAGTTTAAATTAGCATCTTTGTTAAATAATCCAGTTTTTGGTCTTAGGTTATAAAAGTTAATTTTTCCTGCCTTCCCCCGTCCCCAGCCAACTGGAGGGACATTGAAGAATTAGCCCTTGGGCTTCTGCTGGTGGTGCCCCCTGGTAGCTCCACTCAGAACCACACATGCTATGTTTGGACAGACACCTATCAGACACGCAGCTGATGGGCGTGGCAGTGCTGCTTCTAGCAGCTGACGTCCCAGACCTCGCACCCTCTGCAAACCCCGCGCCTTCCATCTTTTGCTCTGACGGCCCCCACGAGCCCTGTGCTCCTCCTGGTACCACCCGCCCTCCCCAGGGCCTTTGGACTGGCTCTTCCTCTGCCTGGAAGGTTCCCCCCAGGTACCCCTGCAGACTGTCCCCACCTCAGCCCGGTGTCCCTGCTCTGGGACTGGGCTTCTCTCACTGGCTCTGTGCACGTTGCTTCTTCTCTCACTCTTCTGTGAGGCGCCACCTCCCAGTCTCTCCTCCTCTCCTCCCACCAGGCATCAGAGCCTCGAGCCGGGACTGGCCTCCCTCTCCCAGAGCAGGTCGGGGTGGACAATGCCACACGGTTCTGGGGGCACGTCCCCATGCTTTTACTTTATCATGTGAGACCAAATCCAGACAGCTGCTTTGTCCTTGGAGAGGGGGTGGAAACTTGTGTTCTAGGGCTCACGTGCTTCCCACGGGAAGTCCTGTCTCACACCCTCCGAACTGCTGAGGGTCTGCGGCCTCCTCACAGGGACTTGGGGTGAAGCCTGGCAGCCTGCCTACACCTGTGCCTGCCTGTCCTGTTGTCCCGAAGCCTGGCCAGTGGGTAACTGCTCAGGGCCAGCGGCCCGTGCATTCAGTGCTGCTCCACTGTGCCAGGAACGCTGGGCCCACATGCTGTCAGGGCCAGGAAAGTGTCGACAGCAGGCGGAAATTACAGTCTTGGTACCAGACCCACCTCCCTGGGGGCTTTGAGCTTGCTTGGCGGGGTGTGCAGTGTCCAGCAGGTCTGGTAGGGTCAGCCTGTGAGTGTGGCTCCGTGGCAACCCTCCCCAAGCCTGGTCTTGTCTTTACTCCCAGAGTTGCCTGGAGTTCAGCCTAAGGATTCAGGAGTTCATTGAGCTCATCCGGCAGAATAAGAGACTCGATGCCGTGAGGTATGTAGAGAGGGGCCTCCTGGGCTCTGGGGAATGAAGTGTGGAGGGTCAGGTCTGCCCTGACTGGCTGGGCCCTGCCTGTGATCAGTAGGGTGCTGACGCCTGGCACCCAGGCTCCGTTCTGTCCAGGCAGCATGAAGCCGACTTAGCATGTGTGCTCAGGGCCCTTGGTTCTGAGGCTGTTTCCACCCACCCCAGAATAGTGCTGGCTCTCGGGTGGGCACAGGGAGCCTTTGGGCAGGAGGCTGGTCTGTAGGTATGGGAGCCTGGGCTCCCCCAGGGGCAGGCAGTGCAGGGAGGCCCAGGTCAAGCCCAATCTGTGCAACCCGGGCAGGGAGGGGCTGTTCCTTTGGGGTGGCAGGTGGGCTCTCAGAGTCGGAAGGGGAGTTGTTGAGGCACTACGAAAGCTAGACGGTCTCTGGGTCCTCCCAGGGTTGTGTCATCGGGGTTTGCTCTGGCAGATGGGGAGCTCTGATTCTTAAAGATAGAAAGGCAAACTCAGACAAACACCAGGGTCACTTGGAAGGGCTTGGGTCGCTGCCTCTGGGTGTTTTCTGCATGGGATTCTGTGCTCGGTGCCTCAAGCCTCGTCCCCCTCCCTGTCCCCTTGAGGAGAGGGACCCTCGCCTCACTTCACTGTGGCAGACCCTGGCCCAGGTCATATGAGGTGGGGCTTACTTGGTACTGAGGCTCTGGCAGATGGGGAGCTCTGATTCTTAAAGATAGAAAGGCAAACTCAGACAAATCTGGAATGTTTCATAGACATGCGAGGAAGCACTTCAGTCAGGCCGAAGGGAGCCAGCTTGACGAGGTCCGTCAGGTGATGGGCATGCTGGCCTTCCCCCCGGACACGCACATCTCGCCCTACAAGGTAAGCCATGCCTGTGGGCTCTCGGGGCTGGGGAGGGCCTGGGCGTGGGACCGCACACCATGTGGGCTTTCCCCGTCTCGCTCCCGCCTTGCCAGTGGGAGGCTTGGGTCAGAACCACGCATGAGGGGTCTCGGCCTGGAGTGTTTCACGTCTGGGTGCCTCACCTGTCGCCTTCCCCATTTGCCCTATGTTCTGCCTCACTTCTGTTGTCTTTGCACTGCTCCTATTGACCTTGGGGGTCCACATGGGGTCTGGGCGAGTGTGGTCACATAGCATTACTAGCCAGCTTGCTCAGCGTTGCTAGGGCAGCGTGTCTGGCCTCTTGAAACCAGGTGATGCCCATCTGGGACCCTCAGGACAGCCCTGGTAATCTCTGATCTGCCTCTAGGGTCCTTCTCTTGTCTTGAGGGATGTTATGTGTTTGCAGCTGAACTGCTCACAGTGGTGTCCTGGAGAACCTAGGAATTCGGACAGCCTTCCCACTTTCCTTCTGGCTCTTCCCCATGCAGGCCCCTTGGCCATCAGCTCTTGGTCACACCCCCATGGGTGTCCTTAGGCTTGCTTGGATACGCCCTTTGTGTTCTCTCTGGAGCAGCTTTCTCATTTTTTGCAACATGGATGGAAGTTTCCAAATCATCAAGTTCTGCTTTCTTTAGATGAGCAGTTCATCCCTTTGTCAGTTTTCTGTTCACACGTTTTAAAGGTAAACGTTTCCAGAGAAGCCAGGCATCCCCCGCTGGCTCCCCCCTCACCCTGCACTTTGCTTGGAGGCATGGCCGTCACGTTCCCAGGTCCCTTGCACGCAAGCACTGCCTTCCTCAGATACCACCGTGCTCTCTGCCACCTGTGCCGGCCCTGCTTGGGACCCTGTTGCTGCTGCCCGTGGAGACCGGGGCTCTCCCAGCTGTGCCCACGTGTATAGGTGTTTGTTGTTCGGTTCCTCCCACAGTTTTCTGTCTTCGTCTTTCTGGGCTCCATGACAGAATTCCAGAGTCTCGGGTCGGAAAGCCTGAGATCAGGGTACTGGCCGGATTGGGGGGTGGCTCTTCCTCCTGTATGTTCTTAGAAGGAAACTAGTTCCTGAATACGCCTCCCTCAGCACCCTGTGGGCCTGGAAGTCCACCTGCCGACACCCTCAGCAGACGCTCAGCCACGTGCTGTCCCCCAGCTGCCAGCCTCTTCCCAGGGAGTGAAGTAAACTGCCTTCCTTGTGGGCTGGACCGGGCTTGTTCCCTGAGCCCTGATGGCAGGCTCTGTCCAAGGCCCTGGCTGCCCCATGCAGTTTCATGGGCAGACAGTCCCCAGTGGCTGGAGTGCTCAGCCGTCCACAGGGCAGTGGCAGCATCTCCCCCGCGACTGGACTCACGTGGCTCGGTGGTGTCGGGAGTGTCCCATAATCAAGCCTCAGGTCACGGGCTCTGCAGGAATGAGACTGAGCTTTAACTTACAGTCTCCTCCGTATCTCTCCCCTGCTCTGGAGAAGCTTTGAGAGAAGGCAGAGAGGGCCTGCCCTGGAGGGTGAGGTGTCCGCTCTGGGAGCATGAGGCAGGTGCCATCCCCATCTGCGGGCTGGAGGGCTGACCCTCAGGGAGGCACCAGGGCAGCGTGAAGAGAAGCCACACAGTCGCTGCGGAGTTCAGGCCGGCGGGGGACAGGCAGGCACAGCCCACCGACGCACAGCCTCGTAACTAGACACGGATGGCACGCCCGAGGAAGACCAGGGTGCACACAGAGGGGGTGGCCCAGGGGGCACGGGACTCCGGAGGGCAGTGCTGGGGTAGGGCCATGCCCTGCCATGCTGAGGGCACAGAGGCCTTGCCCCCTGTGGCAGGCAGTCACAGGTGTGTCTCAGGGGTTCCCACGAGAAGCAGGGCAATGTGCTCTAGTTAGGGAGAGGTGGCCACACCAGAGGCCCAAGGCCAAGGGTCTCGGGGTGGGGGTTGCAGAGCCTCTGGACTGTGGCCTTGGTCCACTGTGGACTTTGCTTCAATAATAATGACATTAAAGACATTTTTTTATAACATTGGAGTTGAGCGTACTGTCTGCCCGTAGAGCCCCTGCTGAACGGGTGCCCACATCTCCTCCCTCATCGTGGGGCCTGACCTCTGTGCATGACATGCAGGGTTTCAGTCTTGCTGGCATATGCCCTCCCTTGCTGTTCTTGGTGACTCGGAACCTGGGAAGCTCTGGGGACACACATTAACCAGGCTTCCTGTTCTGTTATATGACTCTCCAGCCGTGACATGGGGGTGGCTCCTGGCCCAGGAAGTTTCTTTCTGGAGTGAGACTTTGCCCCTGAGACCTCAGTGCTGTCCTTCGGCCCACTACATCCCCTTCCTGCCATGAGGCCACATTTAGCCACCCCCCCTTTATCATCCATGTCCACGCAGACTTGGGAGTCTAAGCTGGCGGGCGCAGGTTAATGGGGGCGGGCCAGGAAGGCTTTGTCACTCACTCTTGGGGTTGATGGCCCTGTGCCGTCCCCAGCTCGGCTCTGCCCCATCTCTTGCAGGACCTGCTGGACCCAGCCCGGTGGCGCATGCTGATCCAGCAGTTCCGCTACGACAACTACCGGCTGCACCAGCTGGGCAACAACTCTGTGTTCACCCTGACACTGCAGGCCGGCCTGTCGGCCATAAAGACACCGTATCCTTTTGGCGGGCGAGGACACCTGCGGGCTCGGCCCTCCTTAGCCTGGGCTCCACATCTGGGGCCTTCTGTCCTCCAGCGTGCAGGCATGCGCCACACCCCTCCGACTTGAGGCCTTTGCTTGTGGCTTGTGTGGTGGGTGCTTGGTCCCGGGCAGTCAGGGGTGGTGGTCGTGGGGCAGCTCTGCCCCCAGCCTCTTAAGTGTTCACTCGTTCCCAGACACCACCCGGCACTGCTCGCAGGCCGCAAGGCTGGTGTTGGTGTACCTTCTGGCAACTGGGTCTGGCTGCCATTCTGAAGGCTCCCGTGTGATTCCTGAGACTCTCCTTGAGCTTCTCTTGGTCTGAGCCCTGGCCGTCACTGGCCCAGTGTCTTGTTTGAAAACATGTGTGGCATAGCAGTCATTCCCCTGCCACCAGAGAGCAGTGGGATTGTGACCCCAGTGCCCAAGTGTCCCTCTCGAATGTGGCATGTGGGCCCCTTGGGAGCGGGGGCTGTTGGCTTTCGTGGCCATCTGTGTGATGGGACCACAGTGAGTGTTGTGGGCACTGGCCCCGGGCTCAGGTGCCTGAGAAGGGGCAGGTGCACAGGGGTGTGGGGCAGTGGGGTTCTTGGGCTGGGCTGGTACAGCCTTAGTGAGGCCATTTTCCTGCTTGACACAGTGTTTGCTCTGTCTTGAAAGAGAGCTCCAGGCTTGATTCCTGCCTGGCAGCCGGGGTGGCCTCAGCATGCCCAGTGCCCCCCACCCCACGATCCTTCCTTAACCATTGCGCAGACAGTGCTACAAGGAGGACGGCAGCTCCAAGAGCCCCGACTGCCCCGTGTGCAGCCGTTCCCTGAACAAGCTGGCACAGCCCCTGCCCATGGCCCACTGCGCCAACTCCCGCCTGGTCTGCAAGATCTCCGGTGACGTGATGAATGAGAACAACCCGCCCATGATGCTGCCCAATGGCTATGTCTACGGCTACAACGTGAGGGGCAACAACATGCAGGGACAGCGGAGCGGGGTGGGACATGCGGGGGCGGTGGTGGATCTGGCAGACCTAACGGTCTCTGCCAGCTGCCTGCTGTCTGCGCTGGGTGCAGTCCCTGGGTATGGGTCCCCGTGTGCAGGCGGCTTGACCCCACGCTGCCCCTGGAGAGCCAGACTGGTGGTCAAGAAGCTGCAGGATCAGGGTTCACAGACAGGCAGGCCTCCCAGAGGCAGCGTGCGGAGAGAAGCCGAGCCCTCCCACAGCGGTGGGCGGGTGGGTGGGCGCCCTGGAGAGGTTTGGCCTGTGTGTCCGCACGTTCATGTGCCCCCTGCCCCCGTTGTGTTTCAGTCTCTGCTGTCCATCCGTCAAGATGACAAAGTCGTTTGTCCGAGGACCAAAGAAGTGTTCCACTTCTCCCAAGCCGAGAAGGTGTACATCATGTAGGCCGGGCGCCCCATGCGCCCCCGCCCGCCTGCGTTTCTGTTTCTTGCGACCAAAGATCAGTGAGCGACGCTGGGCACTCCTAGAAGGGTGGATTCGGGTCCGCACATCTGTGCTGGGGGACAGCCTTTTGCTGGTAGGACTCCGGAGTGCATGTGAGCCACCTGATGCCCTCCCCTTTCAGAGAGACCTACCCACCGCCTTCGGCCGCTTGGGAAACAGGAGTCGGTTCTCCCGCGCCCGCGCCCCCGCCCCCGCCCCTCCTGCCACCCTGCCCCCACGGCCATCCTCGGCGAGGGGGACCAAGGGGCTGCACCTGCTCTGCCGTGGGGGCAGTCTTAGGGTGTGCTAGGTTCAATGTCACGTCATTCGTGCCGCCTTATTTCCTGCTTGAGAATGTATTCACGTGGAAATCCACTGGACCGAGTTCTGCAGAGGCCTTGCTGATGGCTCCGTAACTGTAGATCTAATGCTGTTGTTACAGAAACTAGCAGTCAGTCCGAGTAACCACCGATGACTTTTCAAATCAAACGACCCATTGTAGTTTACACGAAACCACACTGTAGAGGGTTGTATTTAGCGCTTATTTTTGCATGTCGATGTTGATTAGCTAATAAACTGTAAATGTAAAACCTGTTAATAAAAGGGTTTTCTATTTCTTATGTCTGTGTGAGGTGGAAGCTGCTGTGCGTTCTGACACCCTCGCTTGTGTCTGCTTGCCCCAGGCCCCCCCTTGTCTGCAGCCATGCAACAGGGTGGCTCTGGGGTCCCCACACGGGCCCCATCCCAGAGTCCTGCTGCAGCTGCCGGAGGGTGCTGTGCTCTGCTTTGGGGGAAGCGAGTGGGGCTGGACCCTCTGAGTGGGGTCTCCCCAACTCACCAGCTCCTGTTGGCCTCCTGCTGCCCATGGGCACCTGGTGCACCTGTGGCTGAGCCCCTACGCAGAGCACAGGGTGGGTGCAGGGAGGCAGCAGCTCCTTCCCACCATGCCCTCCAGCCCTGCCGCCCTGGCCCCCTGGCCTCCCTCTGACCGTCACCTGGGCCGCCCCTCCATTTCCTTCCCAAAGCCGTGAGGACATCCGTATGTGTGCATGTGCGTGTAGCCACACACCCCACGCCTGCTCTCCGGGTCCCTTCTGGTCCATGCCAGTGACCACACACATGGGGAGAGCTACTCGGCCAGGAGAGTGGGGGGGCAGCCACAGGGTGAGTGGAACACAGCGATTGGTCCCAGCTACACTGGAGAAGTTTGAGCTGTTTGCAGATGAAGCTGCCACAAATGCACTCACGCGTGACTTGCTGAACGCCCACGTTGTGAGTGGAGGTCAGTAGACAGTGACAGTGACGGCCGGCTGGCCAGAGCACTTAAAGCCTCCCGTTCCCCCTCACCCCCCCACCCCTGCCTGCTCTTCATTCTTGCCAGCCTCAGCCCTGCACGTCTTCGGTCCAGGACATGCCAGTGGCTGACAGCTCTTCGCTCATGGTGGGCTTTAACCAGCATAGCAGTCGTACCCATTGGAACACACGGGTTCTCCATAAACAGTGTGATGAGTTTTGATAAATGGACCAGGTATAAGCTGCAAGCCCAGGAGTCTTCCCAGACAGCCACACCCCACTGCACAGTCACCACTGGGACTTTATCAGCACATACATCAGAACACAGGCCATGTGGTCCTTTGTGCCTGACTTGGTTCAGCAGATGCCTCAGGTGCGTCCACATGGCTGCATGTGTCTGTGGCCCTCCTCCATCGGTGAGCAGTAGTCCACTCCACGTGCACCATAGCCGCGCATTCTCTCGGTGGACATTGTGTCCAGCTTCTAGTTACTATAAGTCAAGCTGCCATGAATGTGGCAGGAACAGTTCTTCGTGGACATTGTTTTCATTTCCCTTAAGTCAATGTCTGGAAGTAGAAGGAGTCATGCCAGTGCTGTACCTTTAATTTCACAACTGCTAAGGCTTTTCCCAAAGTGCCAGTAACGGTGTACATGCCGGTTGGCGGTGTGGGGGCGTTCAAGTTTGTCCGCGTCTTTGCCAGTGTTTGGTGGTGTCATTCTTCCCTTTAGTGGCTCGGGTAATCCCTGTGGGCTTATGTGCGTTTCCCTGATGGCTGCAGATGCCGAGCTCCTGCGGATGTGGTAAGTGGCTGTTAGTCCCATATCTGTTCAAGTCTTCTGTCCATTCTTTATTGGAGAACCCCCCCCTTTTTTTTCTTTGTAGGAATGCATTCCGTATTGGGGGCACAGATCCTTTGTCTGATACATGTATTTGCACTTGGTTGCCTGTTATTTGACCACCAGAGGTTTTACGTTTAGTAAAGTTCAGTTAACTTTTTCTTTTGTGGCTCATAACTTCTGAGAAAATTTGCCCATTCTAAGGTCCCAACCATATTCTCCCCTGTATTCTAGAAGATTGTTTTAGCTTTTTAGGTTTGTAGCCCATTGCAATGAACTTGTGTGTATGGAGTGAGGAGGAGGCTAAGGACCATTTACCCCCATGTGTTCATCCTGTCGTTACAACATCATATGTTGAACATCATATGTTGAAGGCTTTTTTGTCTCCATAAGATAATGCGGAGTCCCCAGGCTGTCATTCTCTCAGTTTATTTCTGGAAGTTCTCCGCGTAGTTGCCTTAGGGTTGTCCTCACCCCAACACCCAGCATCTGAGTCACTGCAGCTTTAAAGTACAAATGAGCCCCTTTTGTTCTATGTAGTTTCTACTTTTTCAAAATTGTTTTGATTGCATTTCCACCTAAGTCTTGGAATCAGCTTATAAGAGTACTCTAAACAAAGTCTGCTGGGATTTTAACTGGAATCGCGTTGAATCTTTAGATCAGTCTGGGAACTGCCTTAGTCTGTCCAGGCTGCCCTAACAACACCTCAGACTGGGGTGCTTGAACAACAGAAATACATTTTCTCACAGTTTTGAACACCAGAGTCAATCCAGTTGCCAGAGTCAATCTTCCTGGCTCACAGACGGCCTTCCCTTTGTGTGCATGGAAAGACAGCCCTGCCTACTGTGAGGACACTGGTCCTGTTGGATTAGGACCCATCTCATAACTTCATGTGAACTTTTGCCTCCAAATATAGTCAGCATGGGGGGACAGGGCTTCAACATGAGTTTGGGCAGTGAGGAGGGCAGTTCAGCCCACAGCAGGGACTTAAAAATCATGACCACATTGAGGCCACCAGCCTGTGAATACAGTGTTCTCTGTATCCAGACATCACCTGCATTACAGTTCTCATCATTTTACTGCTATTGTCAGATTTTTAAATTTGACTTCCCAACCATTCTAGTGTGGTAACATACAGACATGTCACTGATTTCGTATATTGATCTTGTATCCTGTGACCCTCCTAAGCTCACTTGTTCTGGTAGCTTTTTGATATGTTATAAAGCATTTTCTGTGTACCCGTTGTAACCTCTGCAAATAAAGACCATTTGCTTGTTCTTGTCCAATCTCTATGCCTGGCATTTCTTTTTCTCCCCTTATTGTATGGGTAAAGCCTCCAGGACAGTGTGAACTAGGAGGGTAAGAACAGAGTCCTGGTCTTGTTTCTGATCTCGGGAAAGCATCCTCTCCCATCATGAAGAACCACGTCTGCTCTAGGTTTTCACAAGGTGCAATTATCAGGTTGAGGAAGTTCACTCCTTCTTCCTGAGTTACCATCGTGAGGGCATGTTGAATTTTGTCAAATGTTCTTTTCTTCATCTAATGAAATTACCATAAGTCTCTTCTCCTTTGTTCTGATAAGGGTGACACAGAGAACTAGATTAGCTTTGAGCAGTTGAACAAGCTTTAGGTTCCTGAGATAAACCTCTGGTGCTCATGGTGTGGGTCTTAATGTAGTGCTGGATCTGACTTGCTAGTACTTTGCCGAACAAGTTGTTTACAACGTACTCTATTGTTTTTTGTTTTGTTTTGTTTTTAACGTCTATAGGTTCTGTAGTGATGTCCCCTCTCATTCCTGATATTGGTCATTTGTTTCTTTTCTCTTGAAATCTACTTAGAGGCTTATCAATTTTATGGATCGTTTCAAAGAACCACCTTTTGGTCTTTGATTTTTTTCCCCTATTGTTTGCCTGTTCTCTGTGTAACTGATTTCTGTTCTTTATTGTTTTCTTCTTCCTGCTTATTTTAGGTTTAATTGTCCTTTTTCTAGCTTCTTAAGGGGAAGATTAGATTACTGCTTTGGGGCCTTTCCTTTCTAATATAAACATCCCATACGTTTTAATGTTGTTTTCATTTTCATGCAGTTCAAACTATTTTATAATTTCCATTATGATTTTTTTTCTCTTTGACCCACAGGTTACAGAAGCCTGTTAGATAATTTTCAAATACTTGCAGACTTTCCAGATATTTTTTGTTATTAAGTTTTCATGTAATTGTTAGAAAATCTAGTCCATATGGTTCAATCCTTTTAAATTTATAGAGGTTTGTTTTATGTCTGCCTTGCTAAGTGTTCCATGTGCACTTAAAGAGAACATCTGCCTGCTGTCGGGGGCATGTTCTGCAAGTGCAAGCTAGGTCAAATTTGTGACGGGCAGCCAGTCTCTGCTATCCTTACTGATCTCCCTACTTGTGCTTAAAAGTTTACAAGTGAATTTGTCTATGTCCTCTTTACATCTATGGGCTTTTGCTTCATGTATCTGGAATCTGTTACTAAGCACAAACACCCTCCCTGGTAACGGCTCTTGTTATAAAGTCCACCTTGTCCTGGCCCAGCCACTCTGGCCCTCCTGTTGAGTGTTTGTATGTTAGTTCTTTCTTGATCCTTTTGCTTCCAACTCAAGTCTTAAATTGAAGTCTGTTTCTTGCAGAGAGCATATGCGTGGGTCTTTTTAATCCAATTGGACAATCACTGCCTTTCAATTGAGCAAGTGTCTAGACTACTGATATTTAATTTAACGTGATGATTATTATTGCTGGATTTGTTACTCTTTTTCCATTTGTCGGGTCTGTCTTCTGTTATTTTTTCTGTCTTTACCTGCTATCTTTAGACT